CGGTTGCTATGTTCGCTGCCATCCCTCGTCCTCCGGAGCTGGCAGCGTTGCAGTAGCCAGGTGGCCGGAGCCACTGGGAGTGCTGAAAATGTAAGGGCCATGTTAGGCAGTAGTTTGGGGCAACGCTTAACTCTGGGACTGCCTGCCTGTTAACACTTTAAGTGGCTTAAAGTGCTGGCTGTGTAGCTCAAAGCTGCGTGGCTCCGGGGCAGGATGATCCCTTGATCCGCATAGGCTCCTGTTCTGTGGGGTGCGAGCGCTGCTCACCGTGAAGGTGTGAGTGCAACCTGGCAGTAAGGTGACCTGCATTTGCACTGCTGGCAGCACAATGAGGCCCTAAAGCAGATGACTTGCCTGGTTGCAGGTGGTTAGGTTTGAGCGTGTCTTGTGCTAGCTGGGAGTTAGAGGGGGGGTATGGGGATGGAAACACTCCGGCACTCAGAAAAGCAAACCCGCTCTGAGCCGCTGTCCCCAAGTGACTTTGTAACAACTGCAGCCCAGAGTGGGTTTGCCTTCCTCGGCACCTGAATGTGCTGTGTGTTAAGGGCTGAATGGTGCACTTCCTTGGCAGTGTTGGTGCACATACTCTCTTGAGAACAGGGGAAACTGGTATGTGCACCATTTACTTAGCTGGTTACTTGTGTTCCTGGCAAAGAGACTTTCATTTACAACAGGTTTCTGTGTTGAGTCTACAAAGACATGTTTTGCCTGGTATAGAACCAGTAAGGTCTGCTCGCTCCAAGAGCCCTAAAGGTTCATCCGATCACAAAGAAAACCCATCATTTTGGTGTTTTACCTAGTTCTTTTCTCAGAAGCAGGTGAGCAAAAGTTTTTTTCCTGTAACAGTTTCTAGAAGTTGAAGGGTACAACAGGTAAAACTTCATTCTGTGTTAATGTCCAAGCCTGGCTATGCTTGGTGCTGTACCAAGTTGGTAGCTGCCCTGACAAACCTGTGTTGGGGAAGCGTCGATAGATTTTAATGTTACAAAATCCTCCTTTTACAGAAGTATAAATCCCCTTGTTGTATTTTCTAGAAATAACTCTGATTTCACCTGCTGTAGTTCAGGAGTGCGGTAGCCAAATGCTTAGGGCAACTTCCTGTGGATCTGAAGGCATTAATTAGAGCCCACCATAGCTTTATACCGGAGGCCATACCCAGTCAACCTCGATTGTAAATAGGTGCCAATCACCTGGGCAATAAAGGGAAAGATGCATGGATGTGATACTGGGCACCTCGCTTCCTGGCGGTATGCTGGTGCCACAGATTAGTATGTATGCCTTAACAGTTCCCAATGGGTCACCAAGGCTTGAGTAGACTTATTATTTTTTCCCTCTTCTTCTTACTATTATTATTATTATTTTAGCTTTATCTCCCTTATGAAAGTAGGAAGTGCACTACAGAAGTACATTATCCACTGTGGGGCTTTCTGAGGCATGTTGGGGAAGTTGTGGGATCTCTTTCATTGGAGACTTTCAACAAGATGCCAGATAAAACAATCTGTGCAGGAGATTAGACTAGGTAGTTTCTTCTACCCCTCTGTCTCTGTCTGTTGTGATTTGTGTAAAATGGCCAGCTCTGCCCAAGACAAAACCATTCTGGGAGGAAGGAGGTCTGTTGCTCTTTGATCAGGTTCCAAGAGTGACTTGTGGTCCATAAATATAAGTTTGAGGAGCGTTTTCACTGGTTGAAAATGAAAATTACAGGGTAAGAGTTAGCTTGTGTTATTGAGGGCATGGGGGAAATCCTCACTAGCTGAGGGCATCTTAACAGCCGGAAGCTCCCAATGCTTCTCTCCTGAATGAGAGCATCAACATGAGGTGTTTATACATTGATTTAACACATTTTAGTTGATTTTTAACTTATTGTCCCTGAGCAGATAAACCCTTGGAGGTTTGTTTTGATCAGGTCATCCCAGATAACACTTCAGAAGCTTTAAAGTTAGTTTTTCTTTCAGATATATAAGAGGGACATCTTACCTAGGGGAAACATGCATATGCTACATGTTTATTTGCATTTTAGCAAATAAAGTCCCAAGTACCAAAGGTAAATTACATTTTCAAGAGGAATAAAACTGCCCAAAGAACTTTTGCTGACCGCTTGGTGACAAACATTTCACTTACTGTGGTATCAATACAGACTTCCCTTGCTTTATGCTGTGGATGCATTCCTGGAAAATGGTGCATAACTTGAATTAGTATAAAGGAAAGGCACTTTACAGTGTAACAAATAGGGATACATTCCAAGATGTTGACACTACTGGCCCCCAGACCCACTTCTACAAGACCATTTTGGCACTCACCAACAGCAGAGAGTACACACAAGCACAGGGCACTATCATAATGGACATAAGTACAGAAACATATGTTACAGACGACAAGCAAGGAGCACAGATCCACATGGGAGGCTATATTTTGGTGCACGTCACTCCCACAGTGTACCACACAAAGTAGCTGACTGCAGACTTCCACCATATCGATTGCATAAGAGTGAATTTACCTTGCATATAACAAATTTTTGGTATCAAACGGGTCATCACATATTTGCACATGCAGAACCCGCATAAAGCGAGGGGAAACCTGTAAACGGATTCCTAAACCAATTGCAGAATAGGAGCAAGTGTCTTTAAACACTGCTTTGTAGCACAAAATGTCTCCAAATATCTGCATTGAGTGTGTGGGTGTCTCTTCTTAATTTAAATATTAGTGACTACTGATTTAATCCTACAGTAACATGCTGGGACAGAACCTGAGTATTGTCATGACTACAAGTTGTAGTCAAAGAGAGCGATTATACTAGCATGATGATGAGAGAGTCCTTTTGGCAGGAGCATGCTGGAAGTCCAGGTGTACACTCCTCAGGAGAGGAGGGTGGCTGCCAAGAACATGTAAACTAAATACCTCGGAATTACAGGGCACCATTGATGAAAACATCTGGAAATGTTTAGTATCACTTCAGTATTTTTAAAATCATTAAAAGCCTGCTCAAACCAGCAGCAGGATAACAAAGTTCTCCTTACAGCTTTCATAAGCAAGAACATCTTTCCTACCCCTTTTGGATATTGACCTACCTGTGACGCTTTCTGCTTCAGCAGAGATCACTATAGGTTAGTATGGACAACCCCCTACTTAAGTGGGTTGGTTGGGTGTGTTTTATCCCCCACTTATCTTATGGGCAGAACTACAAACTTATCTCCTTCCTTTGATGCCTTTAACCATATAGTAGAAGTCAGACTTGAAAGATGAACAATCTTCTGCTTACAGATGGCTTAAGCTAACAGCATAGCTCCAAAAGAATATGGATGGTGCTGCTATATAAGAGTGCTAAAAGAGAAGGCCGTTAACTTTCAGTGCTTCAAGGTTAAGGAAGACCATGATGTGTCTGGGTACATGTATAGCCTTTACCACAATTTGGTTCACAACTGGGGAATCATTTAATGGATTCTATCCTTTTCCTGCCCCCTTTGGAGTAGGTCAGTACAACCCCCTTTTTACAGCTGGGGGCCATGAAGAACAGGCTAGATGAAAAGGATTTACAAGGAAGTCTGGCTGGAAGCTAAACCAGAGTCTCAAATTCCAAGCGAGTGCCCATCACTGGACCACACTTCCTCCTTTCCTACAAGATTAAGAAGTAATCCATGTGCACAGGGCTTCAAATATGAAAATCAAAAACAGGAAGCAGGTCTGTTTGTGAGACCAAGGAAGAAATCTAATTAATAAACAATTTCTACTTGGCTGGTTCTGAAAGGCATTCAACATCGAAAAGAAATCTCTTCTCTATTCTGCTGTTAGTGTGTGAGGGTTTGAAAAAAGAACACCGCCTATATCCATATTACTGTGGGTCCTGTTTGCCATGATTGATGTCAGCTGCTGTGTGGTAGCACAGCCAAACACTTGAACAAAAGAAATGGAATCTTAATTTTTTAGACTCTGCAGTGAAGCCAAGAATGATGACAAAAAGTAGTGGTAAATGTCATAAAACTAACTTTTTATAAGCTTGTGCAAAATCTTAGTTATTGCCAAAATCATGGAGAAACAGCCACGTTTATTTCTTGAAAATATTGTACAAAAGAATAGCTCACTAACGAGCATCTCCACTGTACATGGAACTACTAAGGCAATTCTGTATTGCACCACAGAACAACTTTTAAAACTTTCTTGGGAATTTGCTAAAGATACCCCAGTTTGAGTTAATAAATTAATCTTATTTCCCCACATTTATGAGTGGCTGTTCTGTTGTAGTGGTACAAAGGTTTCTTAGGAGTTACTTAGTAGCATTCCTTTGTTAGATGTTGTGCCACTTGCTCCACATATTCCTGAAGGTTAACTTTTACTACAGGACAAGTGGAGCTGTTGGAGAACTAAGTGCAGCGGGATGCTTAAGACTTGTGTTCCCACTGCACTTGCGAGAAAGTCAAACTACTTCAGGCAATAACAGCAGTGAAATAGCAGCAGTGCAGACTGACCCTTGGCCAGGATACCTGCAACACCAGCTGAAGCCTAAATTGCTGCTAGCCTAAAGTTAGCTCAGCTGTTCTATCGCAGCATGCATGTAAATCAGGCTGACGGAAGGAGCAACAACCAATTGAAGAACGCAAATATCAGGGAAGGTAAAAAGAGGTGGTTGGAAGCAAAAGAGGAACATGTACACATTTTATAATAAGGAGGGGTAAGCATTGGTTTGGCTTAAAAACAAGTTCAAAGGGGAAAGGAAAACATGTAATGGGGTCTTGACTAATTCCTTAGCAAGCCTTGGTTCTAAGTGTGGTCCTCAATACAGTATAAATAGCATGTGGGTTCTTTCCCTTCATCCCACACCCTGAGGGAGTAGTGAGTGGAGGAAGAGAAGGAGGCTGT